ACAACATCTTTTGGCCCCCAAAAATGAAGTCAGGAAGCCATGACTATAAATAGGTAGGTCTTAATAATTTAGTCTTAATAGGCTTCAAGCATGACTACTCAACTCGGCCATGAACAGCCATGAGCAATACTAAAACAAACAAGTGTGGTCATGTTCCAATAAACCTTTTTTTTTTTTTCAACAAAAGAGACAGCAGATTACATGGCTCTCTTTAAGTGAAAGCATTTTTCACAATCACGTCACTGTTTTTCAATGATGACACAAATTTAGATTCAAATTACATGAAATTAAACTTAGACATACAAACTGAAAAACTAAGCCATGATTCTAGTATAATCTAATATGTAGTTACAGATTTGTATAGCACAAGCTCTATGATAACAAAATCACTTTTTCAAAAAGTGTAGTAATGGGAATTATATCTCTAACAACAGACTTGTGTTTTTTTAATTTAATATTTACATGATGCCAGATTCTGTGTTTTAAATATACTTATTAAGCATTACACTGGTTTTCAAGTTTTAACTGAGCTCACATTTTAAAAGTATATTTTTAATGGTTATTAAACTTATGGTTTTAACAGTTATAAATGGCTATTAAGCACACTTTATGCATTTTGATGCTAGATTAAATTGTATAATTAGTAATTTAAAAATTAAAACTGTCAAGTACTGAACCATAGAAGTACTAATTGTGGCAATCTGTCAAACTGTTGTGACTGCTAGACTCTTTCTTTTTTTAGTTTCATTTTGGGTGCAGTGACTACAAAAGCATTTTATAGTTCACAAAAATAGATCTATGTAGCAGCCAGAGAAAGTACTGTATTTGAAAGCTGTACATATGGGTCATATTCAGGCTAATTTCCTTAAGAAAGCTGCCAAATTATTTAGAGAGAGAGAATCTTTTGTTTAGAAGTCTTTCAATAAGATTTTACTGTGTAAAAATAGTTTATTCTGGAAGACAAAGATGGCTCAGAGCTCAAGCTACATTTTTCTGTTTAATAAAAATTTTGGCAGTGTCCTCTGGTAGGACCCTGGGAAAAAGCACTGGGGGACTCTCCTGAAAGAAAAGATGACCTGAAACCAAATGAGACTAGGGTCAGTAAGACATTTGCTATGCTAAGGAAAATTAAGCAACACTTAAGGAACTGTATGTCTCTGCATTATTTTATAATATCAAACAAAATAGGTCAGTCAAACAAAACAGCTCTGGATGGTAAAAAGGATATGCCCATGTCTTTCCTTAGAATGAAGCAGTCAAGAGAAAGAACAGCCAGGAGAAATGAGACAAGAGAAGACCAGAGGCAGAACCTTGGGATCGGGAACACAGACTTGGAGTTGTCAGACAGAACTGGCTCTCCTCTAATTTTGCTGTTATATTAGAGTTTTCTAGAGTGACAAGATCAATAGAAAATACATGTGTAGTTTGTAAGGGGATTTATTAGGAAGTCCTACAGGACCCAAGGAGAGTCCACAATGATCATATGCATGCTAGGGAACCAGAGGATCTAATAGCTGGTCACTTCAAGAAGAGAAGCCACACAAGAAGGATCAAGGGTACAGTACCAGTTCAAGATCACAGGTGTGGAAACTCCCTGGAGAGTCACCAGAGCAAGTCTTCATTGAGAGGCCAAAAAACCTTGACCCCTGAGACTGATGGCAAGGTGATGGTCTCAGAAGCAGCGCCTGCTCAGGAAGACAGGCGCTTCTCCAAACAATGTGCTTCTCTCTTTTTCCCCTTTTTATTTCATCTAGGCTGCAAGTTTTGCTGCCACCCAAAATTGGGGTGGGTTTTCCTTTCTCAGTTTGCTAATCAACTATCACAGATACATTCGGAGCCATGTGTTATTAATGTTAGGTGTTTCTCAATCATTTTATCCTGACATATAATGATTAGTAGTCACATACGGCGATACCTTCACCTTGCTGGTTCTTCCTCACTGTCTACACTCTAAACGATAGCTGGACACCAGCACTGAGTCCTCAATTCCCTTTTCTTCTTGTTATATTTGTTTCCTAGGCCAGGGCTTTTAAAAATGTGGACTCCAAGCCATTAGTGAGTTGTAAAAGTCAATTTAGCAGGATATGCCCAGTATTTGTTTTATTGAAATAAAACAAAGTTTAAAACAACAGAGTACAATATGCATGCTGTCAGCTTTGTTTGTTGAAAGATTTGAACCAGACTCTGTGTGTGCTCACTGTGTTGCAAAGTGATATGAATTTTTTAATGCATTGTATATTCAAAAAAGTTCAAATAGCACTGCCATGGGTGATATCCGCACCACCTCTGTGCGAATGATTCATGAATATAAATGTATATCATCAATGGAACTTGACCGCCAAATTCGACTCATGTATCCAACTGCTTAGTTAGTAATGTCTGAATCTGTATATCTGTGAGGTGTCATGATAAAACCTGGATGCCCGGTACCCTCACATGCATGCCACATCTGCTCTTCTTGCAGAAATATTTCCCATCTCAGAATATGGAAACTTTTTGCTTCTTAAGGCCAAAACATTGCAAGCATCTTTAAGCTCTTTCTCATGTTCCTTATTCAATGATTCATCTAGTTATTTCACTTCAGGTTTTTGCACGCAGCATAAATCTCACCACTTCTTATAACTTCTACAACGCTTTTCTAGCCCAGTTGTGCCCTGATAGTTTTCATAGACTATTTCAATAGCTTCCTTATTCTCCTATCTTACTTCAGTTCACTTTTAAAATAGCAATCAAAGTGATGTTATGCAAATATAAATCATACCATTTCTTCTTTGATTTAGAACCTGTCCATGGCTTCCTAACTTTATGCAAATAAAATTCAAAATCCTTACAGTCATTACAATGTCTAGCATGAACTTCTATAGTCTACTTCTCTTTCCAGAAACCATCTCCTTGAAGTTCAATAGTCTTGCTCTTGCTTTGAGGCATTGGCAAATTCAGTATATTTTGTATGTTTTTACACCAAGTACCTCTAGAGGAATCTGTCACTGCATTCACATCTCTATTTAAATGTTACCTAACAGGCAGGCCTTTCCTCTACTCACCATCTCTGTATCCTTCCTTTATTTTTCTCCATAGCATGAATATCAGACAATTTATATTTTTACAGACTTGTTAGTTATTAAAGGAATGAACAATATGAGATATCAGTAAGGAACAATTTCCAGGAAGTCAAAGGTGTTCCACATAATGGGGTTTGTTAGAGCAAGGGGAAAAAAAAAAGAATGAGGATACAAGTGAGGGGGATAAAAATGCTAAAGTCTGACAAAAAAGTAACAATTTAAAATAAGACAAATCATAAATTTTGAAAAGAAATAAAAATCTGAACCAGCAAAAATAAATAAAACAAAAATAGCTACAAGATAAGAATTAGACCTGAGAAGACAAAAAACATTTCACAAAGACCCCATTAAAATAAAAATATCCAACTCCAAAATAAAAATATCCAATGTAGATGATATTGAAAGTTAATATATTAAAGTACTCCATCAATGAAGTAAAATGTCTATGAGGTGGGGAAAAATGGGCTTATAAATTGATCAAAACTGAAACTAATACAGGAATTAGATAATAAAAATAGTTATAGAAAAATGGGTGGAAAGGAACACAAAATTTGAAGGTTAGAAATACAAGCAAGGAAGAAATTATCAAGAGTGTGCATCTAAGGAAAGTCCCGGGGCACTGTCTTCTGCTCAAGCAGTGAGGGTAAGAGAGCTGGGGCCTCTCTCTGATTCATTTCTTCTCTCCAATTCATAATTCATACCACACTGTTTGCACTGAATAAACCAATTCCAACAAACTTTCAACTATCTTTGCAATAAGCCCTAAAACTCTTTAGCCACTTATTTAGGACCCTCTAGAACAAGTGTGTCCAGCAGATGGTCCATGGATTAGGTGTGGCCCCACAAGATCATAACATGTTAGCACTCTGATGTGGTTATTTTAGTGATATTTTTCATGACTCAGTTGCATTGTGCTTTAGCCATCATGGAACGGCGTGCAGTAGAGAGCACAGTGCCAGCTCTACTTCCTGTGCTTACCACACCTGATCAGTTTATGCTGCCCTCTTCTTTTTAATGGGATAATGAGAATAAGACAGTTTTGCTACTTACCTACTTTAACTATGTGCAGCTCAAGACAACTCCACATTCGAGCCGAGCCAAAACCTCGAATACTCATGCTCTAGACTCTATCCTCAACAGGCATTTCCAATTCTGTCTTCCACATTTCACAATACAAACCCTCCTGTCCATGAGTCCCTAATCTCCCATCACATCCTCACAACCACATCATGCTTATGTTGCCGCTCTCATCTGGAGTGGACGCCTCACTTCTTTCAGTCAGTCTGTGAGGAATGTGTTCCTTAGTTACCTTTACTATCCAGGTGGCCAGTAGCATCTTAGAAAGGCTTCGGAAACTACATTTCCTTACCTCTGTCTCGGGTGCTTGTCTCCTATCTCTGGACATCTTTCACAAACTTTTGCATGTTTTGACTACCTACCTCACTCTCCTTTCTTGACTACTCCAACACTCCGTGATAACACTGTCTTCTCAACTCTTATATTTTCAGCATCTGCATCTACTTCAGTCACAAATTCTCAGGTCCCTGTCGTATCTACTGAGTCAAACAGCCTGAGGTAGGGTGCAGCAATCTGTGCCTTAACAAGTCCAGAGAAGACACTGATGATGCTCAAGTGTGAGAGTGACTGATCCACACGACCTTTAATATTTCATTCTTTCTTAAGTATTACTAGAATGTAAGCTCTAGAGTCAGACTATCATGCTCCAGTCCTCAGCTCTCTCCCCCAGCTCTATCACTTTGTATGTGTCACTTCTTTATACTTGGGTTTCATTTGTGAAAGACAAGGAAGGAAAGGAATAGGACTTTAAAGTAGAATAAGTCACTTGTCAAGGACAAACAGCAGACAAACTACAGAAAAATTTGAACGCAGACAGGCTGATACTAAAGTCTAGGTTTATAACTGAAGTAAGGGACTAACCATACTTTACCGTAACCTCCTGATAGGAAACAAGCAGGAAACTGCACTTTGGGGTCACTAAAAGGGCAAAGAAAGCAAAAGGTTAGTCAAAGGGGCAAGCTGCTGTGCTCCCCGAGATAAGAAAGCAGGATGTACAGCAAACCAAATGAGATTAATGCAACTAACTAAGCTCTATCCTGTCCAGAGAGCTCTGCTCTTAAAAAATCACGAGTCATTAACTAATTAATGACAGTAATGACATTCTGCTGAAAGTCTATAAAAGTAAAATCCCCACTTTGTGCAAGGCTGCTCTCTCTGTGGAGTTGCCAGCTTTGCTGTCTTTTCCCAGGGGCGGATGTGTCTGTATAGTACCTAGTTGTGTCTCTTCCCTATAATAAGCTGTCATTTTATTCCAGCCTTGACACTGGCCTATGTATGATTTTCACCTTATGTGCAGATAGGAATCCATGCTGGCCAGTGACAAAGGGTAACAGCATCCTAGTTGCCAGGCTTTCTGCCTGTCTCATCCCTCTTGTTTGCTTCTTTATAAATCCAAATATATATCATTGGTTCTCCTGAAATGTTAAGACAATCAAACTCTCAGCATGGCATTCAAAGCCTTGTATGATACTCCGTACATGGCCTACTGTTTCTCTCCTTGCAGATTATACACCAGCAGGACTAAATTTGCAGCCAGGCAAACCATACAGTAGTAAACTGTCACTTGTGTCATGTATGTGGCTTATTATAGAACAGTCTTCTCCATTACTGAATGAAACCACCAATCCCTTCTGGACCATCTCTTCAGTGAGGTTTCCCTAAAACCTCTCTTCTCTTCCTTATCCCTTCCAGAAATGATCCATTCTCCCTCTGAACTGTCATTGTGTCCTACATATAAACAGTCCTTAGGCTGAAACTCCTTGACAGTTATGGGAATGCACTTGGGACTGACTATAAGAAGTTCAGGTCCTGACACACAAGAGCAAAATGTCAGTTACTTGTCTGAATTTCCCACTAGGCTGTAAGCTCTGTGGAACTTGGGAGACTATCTCATACCTTTTTATCACTGTAGCCCCAGGGCTACCTCACTGTCTGCCTCGTGATGTAACCCAAACACATAAATGAATATACACACATGGAAATAAAATAGAAATGGAGAGACTTCCTCAATTACCCCCAATATCTGCGAAATTAGACTTTTTAAGAGAAAATAAAGCTGAAACTCAAATCAGTCAAAGTAACTCACTGAAGGAGGAGAAGGAAAGGAGGAGACAGAAGACAGCCAGCTAGAGTGATGTCACTCTTTAATGCATGAGTAAACTCAGATGTAGTGGGGTTAAGTAAAGGGTAAAAGTCACTGGGAGACAGAACAGGGATTCGGATCTAGGTGTTCTGACTCCTGAGTCCATATTCAGATTTGAAGTAAAGTTGGTTTGAAAAAAAAATCCACTGAATGGCTTGAATACTTAAGAAGCAATTACTTAAATTATGGAACAGACAAAGCCTGTAATTGGAGGCTAAAGGGGAAATAAGACAGTAAAGAGAAAAACGAAGACAGGAAGGGCGATCTGGATGACTGGAATGAAAGCACAGGTGAAGAGAGGCCGAGAAATGGAAAGAGGAAAGTAAAAATGGATAAGAAATAAGCAATGAAGCCCCAGGGCAGAAAACACCTGAACTACTGACTTCAAGAAGCCTTCCACAAGAGCAGGAAGTTCATCACAGTTGTGGGAACAACTTGAACACTATCAGAAGCAAAGCCACAGGGCCTTTCTGCAATTTCAGCACCACCAGCTACCAAGCAAGTTACAGTAAAATCCAGAAGTAGGGCAGATCAACTCTGCGTGGAAGTTCCAAGCCACGTCAGCTCCAGGTCAGGGGGATTGCCCTGGGGACAGCCAGAGACCTGTCCAGGGATTGAGACGTGTATCAGAGGCGGTCAGGAACACAGTCCCCAGCCAGGCAGAGGGCTGGAACACATAGTCCTCAAATTAGGAGTCCTGAGGAGCTCACTGGAATTTGAAAGCGTTGGTAGGAAGGAATATATGAAGCCCAAATAATCACACAGGCACTAACTTCATGATTCAACAGCTTCAAATATTAGTTAAACCTTGAAAGGTGAGAAGGGCACAGAAAAGTAGAGAGAGAAACACTGGGTACTTTACAAGGGGAGGCACTTTGAGCAGTGTGGGAATTAACGTGCAAGTGAGTGTATGAGAGCACACGTGTGTGCAGTGTTAGGGAAAATCTGTAAGGGCATCCACATTTGTACTGGGAGATAAAGGAATCAGAATTGGAGAAATGGTTTCCTTTTATGTCTGTCTTACTAAGGATTGAAATCTTACATGGAACATATTTCTCAATCACAGCATCATTTTAAGACTTGGTGGAATCTTAAAGAGCATCCATCCAAGTCCTTCATAATGGGCTCAATGAGTTTACCAGATTTGACCAAGGGAGCATGAAAATTAGAACTATAGTACATTTTCTGTTGCTAAGTTCTAAATAAGTTAAAATATAATATTAATTATTAGGAAAATTCAACCAGCACAAGGTCCCTCACTTCCTTTTTTCCTGTGCTATTTATTAAGCACCAACTGTGTACCAAGCACATAGCAACTGAATGTGACTCTTACCTTTATGGAGCAGCCATGGTGAAAAATGACAGAGCAGGAACTGGGCCAGTTTGGGGTTGGAAGCAGTGAAAATCATTGCTGGATTTTTTTCTTCCCCTGTTACCACAAAACAAGAAGCAGCTTGGCAGTATATTCTGCTTTTATATCCAGACTTTATTAAATAACATTTTATAAAAATAACTAATCTTAACAAGAATTAAAACAATGTAAGTAGTTTATAGATTAGTAAACTCAATGATAAAACTTGTGGGAAAATTTCAGACTCTGTGATAACTATAGAAATATAATTTATAATAAGTGTAAGGCTGGGCATGGTGGCACACTCCTGTGATCCCAGCACTTTGGGAGGCTGAGGCAGGAGGATCACAAGTTAAAGCCCAACTTAAATAATTTAGCAAGACTGTGTGTCAAAATAAAAAGTTAAAAAGGACTGGAGATATAGCCCAGTGTGAAGGCTCTGAGCTCAATCCCAATATTACAAAAAGAAAATTTTTTAAAAATACAATGCACTATTGCACATTCATTGAATTAGTTTAAGAATTCAATTGGTATGCCTAAAAAAATTAATTAGTTTAACCACTTTGGAGACGTATCTGGAAGTATAAGAACCACAAGATACGTTATAACCTATGATTCAGTCCTCTCATTTTGATCAAACATCTCAGTAAAATACACATAAAAGCAAAATCAGAAATAGCATTGCTTATGACAGCTTCAAAATTTGTAAGTGCCCAGAGGACTGGAAATTTCCATGGGTTCAGCATTCCCTAGGACTTTCCAGAAACTAGTCATCTCTTGTACCTTCCTAATCCATCTTTTTCAAAAAGGACACATTTTCCCATTAGACCATCCAGGATTCAATATACTCAACAATAGAATTATTTTTCTCAATGAAAATAAAAATAGGGGATGTCTGTCTCTATGCCAAAAGTGTTCACTCTATAAATGATCTCATTAAAGTTGATTCATTTATATGGAAAATCTCCATTAACCTTTACCACTCTGATTTTCAGAATAATTGTTTAACAGGAAGGCTGAAAACAGAAAAAAGGTCTACAGAACTACCTATCATCAGACATAAAAGTCAAACTCCATTTAAATTATTAAAAAGGTAAAAAGATAATAGAATATCAATTCATTGCTAAAATATGAGCAGCTCATGGTGAAAGTCACCAAGTCCTGCACACACAATTATGCAGAATGCTTGGATCAGTGCTTCCCTGACTTAGTTTTGCAGATGCTATTTCTGTGTCCTTTGCTTTCTGTGTCCTGGGTATTCCCCACAGGGGAATCTGGGGATTAAAACATATTTTCGTCATTGACAGTGGCTCATCTGAGTGATCACTTTAGAACCTTCTGGATTAGTGGGAGGCAGGAGATGGAGGCTGTAACTGGGGAGAATCTCATGACTCACACACAATATTCACTGGCCCTTTTACTGCTCTCCAGTTGAGGATCTCTGTCCAACCCCAGGGGATCAGACCCAGTCTCAATCCTCAAAAAGTTTACAAAATTCATAACATAGAGAAACACAAGGATACACACAATCAACTATGATGTAAGACTGGGGGAAAGATAAAATGATGTGATAGGAAAGGTAAAACAAAATTTCTAAGATGTCTCATGAAGAAAGAAAATAACTTCTGATTTGACTCAGTTTTAAGAAAGACGAAGTCCTTATCTTTTTCATGTTCCTCATCCTGTAAAATCAATTCATCAGCAAATCCTATAGGTACCATCTTCAAAATCTAACAGAGAACTTTTGCTGAGTACCTACTATGTGCCATGGGTATTTATAGGGTTTTACAAATATTAACTTATTTAGACTTCATAATGTTCTCTAGGTAGATATCAGTCAATTTTGCAGTTAGAGAAACAGACACACTGAATTTCAGGAAGATGATGAAGACACCATGACAAATGTTAGAACTCAGATGACCCCAGGGAGTGTGATCCACCCCCAGAGCCCACCTGTCCATCACTCTGACCTTCTGCTCCTGTCAGTCTCCTGTCTCTGCTTTTCTTCCAGTCCACTCGCTCCATTCAGAGGAAGTCACCATCGCCTTCTGCCTGGACTTCTGCAGTGATGCCCGGAGGATGCAGCTCTTGTGTCTGCATTTTCCCCTTTGTGGACACTTTAGGTCTACCAACTTGCAGTGATCGTTCTGAAAGTTAAATCAGCTCATGTCACTCCCTCCAGTGTCTCTTGCCTCACATAAAGTAAAACCCAAACTTCTACCAAGATAGAGAGAGCAAGACTGGAAATCTCTGGCCTTTCCCCAGATCTGCCACCTCATGTCACAGTGAGCTCCTGGAAACTGGCTTTCTTTCCTTTCCACGTCCTCCCTTCCTTGAGGACTTTACTTTTGCTGTTCTTTGCCCAAATGGTTAATGTCTCTATGGCAAGTTCCTTTGTATCTTCCAGGCCCCAGCTTCATTCACTATCACTTCTCAAATAGACCTACCCTGACTTCTGCATCTAAAACCCCTTCTGTTTCTCACCCTCCAACATCATACTTATTGTCTTTGTGGCATTTATCTCTGAAGGATTTTTTAGTTGTTCAATTATTAATTAAGTTGTTCAATTATTAATAAGCTCCCCAAAGACAAGGTTGGCCCTTACTTGCCTTTGTTTTCCCAGCATCTAAGAGTTTCTGGCTTACAATTGGCACTCAATAAGTTTTGTTGAATTAATGAATAAAGAGCAGAAAATACATGGATAATGGGCCAAGCTAAGATTTCATGGTCATAGCGGCTTGTGGCTGCCTTGAGTTTAACATGATGCCCTTCCGGGCTGTGTTGCATACTGTCACAGAACAAAGAGGTAAATTGAATATGGGAGACTTAGAGTTGCAGGATTCACTTACTCATTGGCTTATTTTAGAAGTAACAGAAAAGAATAAAAATAAATGAAAGAAGAGGAGGAAGAGAAACAAAGGAGAGAGGAAGTGCTGGCACTTACTAATCAGGTCCTGTTCTAAATGCTTTTGTGGTTAAAAGCTCATTCGGGTATTATAACAACTCTTGAGAGTAAACTATTCCAGAACAGGGGCTTAAAACAAAAAGATTTTGTCTTGTGCCACAGTTACGTGGTTTAGTAGTCCGGGTGGGGCGGGGCTGAATTATCTGGCTCTGCATGGCACACACATGGCAGTTTTCAGCTGGTTGGAAGGTCCAAGATGTGTTCCCCACCATGCCAGATACTTTTTCTGTGACTGCTGGAAGCTGCTTTCTCCACAAAGTATCTCCAGATTGCCGTTGCTCTTCTTACACGAAGCTCAGCGCCCCAAGAGACTGAGGAAGAAGCTTGAGTCACCATAGGCTGGGTTAAGAGCTGTCACCACCACTTCCACTTTTCTCTAGAAGTTAAAGCAGTCACATCCCAACCCAGATTTAAGGACAGCAGAAATAAACACCAGCTCTTGAATGGACATATGGTAAAGAATTTGTGGCCACCTTTATCTTGTAACAATAATCCAGTGAGATAAGATACAGAAACTCTGGTTTTTAGCTGATCCTATGGAGGGCAGAGTGTTCATTGTCAGAAAAATCTCTGCTTTAATTTCTACCCAGCTCAAGTGAGGAGAGTGAATTTCTTTCCTCTTTATACAGAATAAAACAGTAAATAAATACTGAGTAACAATCAATTACAATGTACTGTGTTCCTCCACATTGTAAGACGAAAAGCAAGGTTAAAAAAATACCTTAGTTTTTTTCGCATAAGAATTATTTGAAAATTAAAAGCTTGTATGTAAGGTAGCATTTCTCATCGATGCAAAGAATCCTCCTGTAACCAACATAAAATTTGGCTGCTGATTGCGCCTTTATTTCTGACTGTAGGACCCTGGGGAAATGAACCAACTTACCTCCGGGGACTCTTTGCCTATAAAACAGGTACTGACAAGTAAGAGACTTCTGGCTCTTCTCTCAAATTTAAGTATTTATGATTCAAAATGTAAAGCTCCTTTTGTGTCACTATTCAAGTTCCTGAGGGATGTGCCTCTACCTTTTACGGTTTGGATCTAGATGTCCCCCCCAGAGCCTCCTATGCTCAGGGGTAGGGCTTCCAGAAGGCATTTGGATTACAGCAATGCTACAGAGGATTCGCTGTTAGGAGGCAGAGCCTGGCTGGAGGAAGGGTCCCTGGAGCCTGACCCGGGAGGGTATCTCGGTCTGTATCAGTGCATCTCCTCCCTGGCTCCGACCTTCTCTCTGCTTCCTCACTACCATGATGTGAGCTTTGCTCCACCAGATCCTTCCACTGTGCCTTTCTGTCTCCTGCCTATGGACTATAAAACGTGAGCCCACCTAACTCCTCCTCCTTTAAGTTGCAGGTGCTCGGCATTGTGTCCCAGCGACCAGAAGTGACTAAGACACTGAACGGTTACCTTGTTTCGCTCATAGCAGAGCAGTCTTGTGAGCTACTCTAGATTAAAACTCCTGCCATGCTTGCAAGAGGAAAAATACCCAATTTCCTTTCACAGCAGCTGCATGCAAAGACACATACATGGTGTCTTATATCCAGCAGCACCAGAAGTCGACGTTCACAAGAACACAGGGGCAATGTGGAAGCCTCCTTATCTCAGGGAATATGTTGTATACAAAGAGCCTTTCATTTCTGATCTTCCCTCCTGTCTTAGGAGTACCTATTATAACATCAGAGAATCAAAATAATTATTTCAGAAAAACATCACACTTTCGTTTTCCAAGCTCATCACCACAACACACACTCTTGCCTTAGGCTCTGAAGAGCTCCCTTCCTTTCCTGGCCATCAGTGGGTTTGCATTTGACCCATCTTCTCTCTCACTCAGCTGTAAAGATAAAGGGTACAGAGAGAGTGAAGTTGTGACTCATTTCTGGATGTTGATCAAATGCCAACAGATGGCAGGAGATAAATGAGTCTTGAGGTACGCGGAAACCAATAACATTATGGGTAATTGTTCAAATTTCATTACAAATTTTCTTCTTCCAAAAATTATAAATAAAGGTAACACAGCAGGCCAAAGAATGCAATCCTAACACTTTCTGGAAGCAGGGAGAAATTAACAGCACTTTTCAGCTACACCTGTGGTTTATTCACACAAACACAAATGCGGGATGAGGTAATAATTGCTCAGTACAAATCTCTCGGATTTCAAAAAATCATTATGAAGAATGTATATCATTATTTAGATGAGAAATTATAAAATGAGTTTCTTCTTCAAGATGCACTTATTTTCCTAAACGTAGCATATAGAAGAAAACACTGTTTCAAATGACCCATTTCAACCTTCTACACAAGATAACTAGGATTCAGAGTTGAAAGATATGTAAGAGAATCTATCCTCTTCTTTTCACAGAAAAACAAACTATGTTTCAAAAGTCAATGGCCCACACAACAATGGGCTAATGAATAATCGTACCCAAACCAGACAGGATCTCCTGAGCCTTGTTACAAAGCTCTTTGAAAATCCCTACAATGCCTCTGAAAGTGATAGAACCAGAATTCCTTAATCCTTACAAGACTGGACCATGAAACTGGGACAAAACTGGACATTAAAATGCAGTGCTCCTTTGTAAGCGTAATCTCTGGAATATAGCATGCGCTTAAAGTATTTGTGAAAGGAATATATCAGTTTGACCAAAAAAATTGTATCTGACCTAATGAAAGCCCCCAAAAGTCCTCAGGCGAGTAACAAAGAGAGTCTGCTCTCTCAGTGTTCTCTAATGTAAGTTTTTGCCTCCTCACAGTAAACCCCACAAGAGCTGAGCAGAGGGTCAGGGACGTTGTTATAAAGGTCAGAATTTTGTTCCTGTAAATCAAGACTTACAACATAGGAAGCATTTTTGTTCCACTGCTTGGGGGTAGGTATCCTTCCTGGCAGGAGGAACTACTCCTGGCATTGTCCTATCAGCTCTATGGAGATACAAACACACACCATCGACCTAGTTACCCACAGTGCACAATTCAGTTACTGCCCACGTTGTGCAACCATCAAACCCAATAAAATTTAGAACATTTTCATCACCTCAGAAAAATACCCACATCCCTTCACCATGATCTCTACTGTTACCTCACTCCGTTTTCAGCCTCTTAACAAATACTTATCCAATTTCTTTCTATAGATTTTCCATGTAAGTGGAATCATACAATCAATATTCAGTCCTTTGGGTCTGGTTTCATGTTTTCAGGGGCCTTTCATATTGGGTCAGGTATCAATGCCTGAGTTTTGAAGGCCAAATAATATTCCAGTGTATTGATGAGCATATTTTGCTTATGCATTCATTAATTACTGAATGTTTTGGTCATTTATGGCACCATGAGTAATGCTAATATGGACATTCACAAATGGTTTTGGAAGGACTTAAATTTTTGTTTCTCTTGATTTTATATCTACAAGTGAACTTGTTGGCTCATTAGCAAGTGGAGTTCAATGGGGAAATGTTTGAGTTTTTCTAACATATAGGAAATAGGGCTCACTAATAGAAACAAGATCTGTCTCCCATGTGTTGCTGCTGAGCAATACAGGAGAAAAAAATTCATTAATTTTTTTTTGAAGTGGATTTGAATTCAGAGACAGTTCTTGCCATTTCTCTGTGGAATATAGTCCCTATTATAGATGCTCCCCTGTTGTAAAAGGCACATTTGTTTCCATTGTAGATGGACCTCTTTCTGTCCTCTACACAATAAACTCTTGGAATGATTCTGAAAATGCAACTTTAATATTGGAAACTTCTTAAAGAGTGGATACACACACTTTGGATGTCCCCAGACAAGTTCTCAAAGAGATTTGAACAGTCTGAATAATCTTAACAAACTTTACACTCTAGATTTGCACTAATCACTGTAACTAGCAGATTGTGTTTTAGGTCAAGTTTATAAAACAGTAAAGCTACAATTTGTATCCTACTCTTTATTGAAGTGCCCTTCAGATCCAAGGTAACCTCTACATCTGTATCATTTACATAACATGCAGAATTAGGGAATACTATTTTTAAATAATATTAAAATTTTACGTTTATATATCCTTTTTTTCAAGCATCAACCAATCATATGCTTGATCTATTTTTAATTCTTCATAGGACAACTTTCACTCAATCACTCAATATGTAACACTGCTTATTTAGTAAATATGATCTCCCTCTTGATGGCCGGACTGCTTTCTGTCATAATTTCCAGGAACT